CAATGGGGAAGGATCCACCCGAGTCACGGGAAAAATCAGTCATCTCCCGAGTAAGAGAGCGACAAAGGTGGCTGGAATTCAGGGGGATTTCCCAGTCTGAGGTTGCAAGAGGATACAGGCTTAAGTGCTTTCATTTTTGTGTCAGAGGCAGAAATACCTCTGAGAAGATTGATATCACTGCTTAATGTTTCCATGTAAAAATAGAAAATTTCGGCAGTGGGGGCATTCAGCTTTTCCTCTCTTCTGCTAATTAAATCCATCAGAGAATGGACTGCCTCGGGAAATTAAACTGGACAATTAATTACCAGAAATTAAACACTTTAAATAGTTTAAATAAAGTGTTTTTTGCATTTAGACAAACTAGTTGTCTTTCAGTATCTGGTATATTTTGTATTAAATGAACGGTGAACCTTGAAAACTGTGAAAAAAAATCATTGTAAAACAAAAAACAGAAGAAACTATTCCTTCCTCTACAGGGTGAGGTTTTGTCGAATGACAACCATGTGCAAGAAATGACCGCTTGGCACTTGGGAGGCCTCATATGGGTTTAATATCACCCCTCTTCTCATTTATTCTCTCCTGACAGTATAATGGCTGTCTTTGGAGAGTTTCCTACCCACTGCTTTCCCTTTCTCCTCGCCCAAAGTGTCTAAGTTTACGCTGAGCAATACTCCCAGGCCATGTGCAAAGGGACAGGCTGAATTTTCATGTACCCACATTGGGCTGTGGTTGAATCCCACCAGTGCTGTGTCTCTTGTGTATCATCTGGTGTTTTCCTCTCTCAGCCTTCATACTTATTATATTAAAACAAAATAAAAGAGGACTGGGGGAGAAAAAAGAAAAAAGAAATAAATCGTTTTGTCTGTCACAGTCTAACAAAACGTTTCCTTCCACGTCTGTGGGTAAAGTCCAGAGGTAGTGCGGGCGGCAGAGTGTGGAAAGAAGTCAGCAGAGAGTGAGAATGATCCGGAAACACGGGACAGTGAGGCCTTAATTAAAAGGGTGACGGGCTCTGCTCTGCACCGGGAGACAACGTAATGAGACAAGCAAGCTGTCCCGTGAGGATCTCGCTTTCTCTTATGCACAGACACAAGCATGCAAGACATCAGTGCTTGTTTCTCGGATTCACACACCTCTACCTTTTCTTTTCTCCCCCGGATCCAATAAGCCCTGTGAATGAGCTCCATAGCTGAGCTTTATTTCTTTATTCTCTTCTGACCACTCCTGTACCTTTAAAGTTGGCACATGATCATGAAAACTCTACAGATGGGAAATTTCTCTCAAGTTCTGCCAAGATGTATAGCTTGATTTCCTGATGACAGATCATCTGACGCATTTGCCCTGCAGGTTTATAAACAGAAACTTTTTCCGTAACAGTCACCCACAAGGTGTTTCAGCTATATGTATATAGATACACCCAACATTTGAAAATGTACAACTTGCTCTTGTATAAAAGCAAAACTCGTATTTTTGTAAATACCAGAGTGTTGTCACTTTTTAGATACAAAGCTGTGAATTTCATCTGGAACAGTTTGTTCTCATAACAGATACTTTGTATCACGGAATCCAATGTTTCCTTTGTGTAAGGGACAGGTGTAAGAGAATACAGATTTACATTCAGGCAGCAGTTCAAATGGGTTTAAACATTTATATGACTGCCAGTGCCTGGGGCTATCTCTGTCATGGTATGTATTTTAAGAGGGTCGAACAGGTTCCTCTGCAGAGAAACCAGATGCAGTTCATCCGCAATGAAATGGGTGGCGGCAGTGATGTACAGTAGCTTATGACAAGGCTGAGAGTTAAAGAGAGTTCAGCTGCTCTTAAAAAACAATGTGAGGTGTTCACTTTGATCACATCTATTTGTATGCGATGAGGATGAAATGAGTAATGCTCCCACATCCTTCATTAAATCCTGTCAGCGTGCTGTCATGCATCGTTGAGCTGTGTGAGACTGTGGCGGTACAGGGCCGTTCCTGACTCTGAATGTTTGTGTAACTGTATGAATGAGATGGATGGTGTTACTGACAAAATGCACCCATGCCTGACAAACCTCTCATAGGTAAATAAAGGTGGTCAAATAAAAAACAGGAAAATCACCTCCTTCTCTATCGTGCCAGTTTGCCCGACTGCTGGCCGGTGAGCTGGGTGACGAGTAGAAGTCAGGTCCTGTTGGGCTGGTGTCCATGTTCTCGTCCATGCTGACGGTTTTGGGCCTTTTGCTGTGGGACATGGAGAAGCTTATGGTTTAGCACTGCCAGTTTTTTGGATATAATGACTTTGCAAGATGTGTCTGTACTGATTTGGGGCAATTGAGAGTGGATGTTTGGGACAGTTTAACTTGCATTGTGTAAAGGTTTATTAAAGGACTGGTCTGATACATTTATGTGTTTCTGTCCGTTTTGAAGACTGATACCACCAGTTTACCTAGGCAGATTTTTTTTTTTTACCTTTGAGCAGAGCAAGACTAGCTGTATCCCCCTGTTTCCAGTCTTTAGGCTAAACTAAGCTAACTATATAATGGCTACAGACATGAAAGTGTCTCTTGTCAAGAAAGCAAATGAGCTTATTTCACCCAAATCAGTTCCCTTAAAAAATTAAGATAACATCTCATGCAACGGTCTATTTCAGCTCCATATAAATATAAAGAGATATCTCTGCACTATCCTTGACTGAACCTCACTGAAATATTTCTTCATTAATAATAAAAAAATACAATGTCACAGCTACGGTATTATCGTAGAAGGAATTTATCCAAAAAGCTTGTTTTGTTGCTGGAACTTCCACTCACCTGCCGGGTGGGGAGGACAAGGAGCGATGCAGCCCCACGCTGGAGTTCAGGTCGTGATAGTAGGGTTGGCTGGGCATGTCGGCCATGGAGAAGTTTACCGCTGCACCGTGGGTGATGGGCACTGAAGAGGACACAGAGAAAACAAAGAGAGAGAGTTAGGCTGTAATCACTGCAAAGGAAGAGTTCAAAGTCAGCAGTGTTGCCAGACTGAGCACTGTGTATTTCCCCATCTTTCCATCTAGAGACACACAATTAATTGCACAATAGCTTGACTGACTGTTATTGACGCTTTGTGTTTAGCGGCCCTGTGTATCAAATTAAGCGCTCCCTATTCACGGGTTAACTGTCTGACCATCACAGGCATTTCTGCTGAGCAATCTGATTAACAAGTAACTGCTTCCCAAAGTGGTTGTGGCTGCAGGTATGAACATTTTACTGCAGCTGCATTTTCTATGTATTGATGAATCTCTATTGTATTATTATTGTTATTATTAGTTTATTATTACCATTATTATTATTATTACTAGTAGTAGTAGTAGCAGTGGTATTAGTATTATTATTATTACAGAGTTGTTTTTTTTAATGTGGCACTAAGAAGACAGAATATACAGCAGTAAAACAATGAATCTGCCAATTATTTTCTAGATTATTGGTTAATTGTTTAGTCTATAAAAATGTCAAGTCCAAGGTGATTTCTTTAAATGTCAGTCCAAAACTCAAAGATATTCAGTTTAATCTGCTGCTCTGCTGATTAATTGATCATCAAAATAGATGATCTCTCTGTTAATTGACTAATCCTTGGAGTGCTAGTGTATTTTACTGCTAAATGTTTTATCTAGCAATTTAATTTTAAATTTTAATAAATTTAATTTAAATTAGAATCATTTGTGATGCATCAAAAGTTGGATGAGCTCGGCATCTCGAGGAAATCTCAGAACAGATTCTTGAAACCGAAATAACAATCATTAACATGTTCTTCCCTTCCCTACGGTGCAGTATAATACTCAGAAGTCTCCCAGCATAGTGATTTACAATGGAAAAGGTGTTGTTTTTCTCACTGCGGTCAAGGTAAGGGGATATTGTTTCAAGGGAGGCCGGGCCAGTGTTTACAGAACAAAAGGAGTTCACCACCCATCCTCACTCTCTCTCTCTCTCTCTCTCTCCTCTGTCTCTCTATGTCTCCCTCTCCCTTCACTGTGTGGCCCGCGAGGCAGCCTGCAGCTCGAGCGGTTGGTTGGTTTGGAGTCGATGAGAGGATGGAGTGTGTGGCGCCGTCTGTTGTGGTCTGAGGTTCACCACTGGCACGATCCCTCCGCCAGCCTCCGCCCTGGCAGCCCACTGTAGCCCTGGCAAAGGCCCCTACCCGCTGCTACCCATACAGAGCTGTCTGTGGAGGAATGCATCCGGCCCGAGGACGCTGAATACAACACCATTGTTTTGGGTTTTTTTTTTCATTCATGGCTGAGGATACCCCCCAACCATCTCTCCCCGTTGCTGGTTTCTCTCTTTCGTTCTTTCTCTTTTCTTGGCTTGGTGCAATAATTGTGATCCCACTTGGCTGCCCTGCCCGTCATCTCATTTAATAATCTGGGCTTTGACTTTTAAGATAAAAAAAAAAACTGTAAATGAAACAATGATGCTGCATATCATTTGCCACACAGTGATTCTTCCAGCAGATTATTTCCTCTTCCTCTGTATACGAAGGTAAGAGTAAGTGTGCCCACATTTTTTTGTTGACAAAATATTTTTACACTTGCAGCCGAGGCTCCTGTTGCATTAATGAGCGTCCTCGTCGAAATGCTGGATTGCAAGTCAGCCTTGAACTCTGCAGCTTCCTTTGATGGACTTCAAAGAATGTCTCAACAGCCTGGAGAGTTGGGAGAGAAGCGCGATGACGGACGAGCGGCTGCTTAGATATCTTCCCAGGGAGTGACCGGCTGAGTGAGTGACAATTCCTGTGTGTCCGTCGACCTTTTTAAAATTCCAGCTCGACTTCAGTCGGCTTTAGTGAAACCGGGGCTCGGTCACATGAGAGCAAACACGCCAGCGCAGCGGCCATCTGGTCAGGGGGCAAATTAAACACTAAACAAAAACACAGCCTTTCAAAGGATGTTCAGTCTCTGAGCATCGAAACGAGTGGCTTCTGCCTTTCAAAGCATGATGTATGAGACAGTGAAGACAACCTGGTCCATGCTCCTTTATCACAAACACTTTGATACAGCAGGTAAATAGAAACCAAGGTCAGCTTTATATTATTTGTTGATGTTAATGGCCAAAGCAATTTGAGAGTTTGACCACATTGGTTTTTGACAGTTTTGAGGATTTTACATTTAAAAGTGTGACTTTAAACTGTACATTTTATACCTTTATATTCTTAATATATTGT